GCAACAACATGACAACATACAAGATATTTTGTACCTTATGTCAAAGTACTGCGAAGTACTGCTTTGGAGCCTCATAATTCGAAAATTACTGAATGAAAAAATATTTTAATATAGTGTTTTGGAAAGCTCTCGAGATAACCTACAAGAATATGTAACCGGAAATAGTAGGTTCCATTTAAGAAATTGAAGGTAACCTTCATGTGACCTTCAAATTACTCTTCAAGGTCAAACCTATGGTACCATCTTATGTCCCCCTCGAAACCATACAACTTTTGTCTGAAATATTTTTTCATATCTCTTTTAGTTTTTTAAAAAATCGACTGTATAAATTAAAATGGCCCACCCTGTATATATTGTTAAAAACTAACATGATGATAAATACAACATTATTGTACCGCACTCATCTCGTCTTATTATTTCCAAAGATGCGCACTCAAAACGCGGGAGCCCGATTCAACGTAAGCGCTGCCAATTCTCCGCCACTCGACTCGCATTCCGCGACTCCGCGATTCCGGATGAGAACGCAGTCGAGAACGGTATCGAATCCACGACGTCCTAACTATCTATCTACTTTTGAGGGCGCACAAAGCCTCTTTCGAGTCTCGGCGGCACAACGCCAGCGAGATTCTGACTTATCTGTCATTTGGGTTACCGCGGTTTCTCTCCCAGACTCGCGTGCGTGCGTGCGTGCGTGTACGCGTGCATTCACATATGCATGTCTATAACTGCACAGGGAGTGGGGTAGAGGGGGAGAACCGGAGGAAGAACACTGGAAACGCAACTGCGATGATGGTTGCATGGATTGGATGCACCGGGGTGTATAATAATCGCGAGATTAGACAGAGGATAGAGAGGACACGTCTCTCGTCTTTCTCCAGTCCCGCCGGATCTTCATCGACCTTTCTCTTTCCGATCCCCCGTGTGTCTCAACCGCGACCCCTCTCGAACACGTCAGTCTGAAATTGCTTCTCGAGATTTCGCCACTCGTTAATGCTCGCGTGCGTTCAATGCTATATTTTAACTACATTTCACCCCGTCGGCCGCTAGCCCAACCCTTTCTCTCTCTCCCTTCCTGTTTCGTTACCTCGTCTCGTTTCATTTGCACCGACTTAACGCTGAGGTACCGCGCTTCCTGTCTTGGTTAAGAGTACGAGGGGTCTTTAATTAATTGTAGCGAATCGACAAGTGTTCATAAAAAATTAACCAAACGACTGCGGTATTTTAATTATTTTTAATTTTACCAAGTTCTCTTGTCATTTTACTTGAGTGAAAAAATTTTTAATCTTTCTTCGGATAAAATATTCGTAAAAAGAGTTACGTTTATGCTCTTACAACGTGATTCCGCAAACACATTTGGTTCACAGCGAATCCAAGTTTTCTAACCGCGTCGTGAACAACGTCGCGGATACTCGAATATTTTTTCCCGCCGAAAAAACTTGGATTTATGAACGGAAAATAACGTCCCTCGCGCGTTCGGCCGCGCCGGCTGGTGTGCCACGGCAATGCGGGTTTTTCTTCAACTTCCGCGATCAGTTACACGTCGTCGGAGATTGCAGCTGGGCTCGCAGCCGGGCTAATATGCGAGCGCGGAAATGGTCCCGGGAGAAATTTGTAGACGCCGCCGTCGGGTGTCTGAGCGGAATTCTCTTCGACGGAGTACTCAAACCCCGAAAAGCCATTCCGGTAACTTTTACTTTCGCGCTCCGCGTAAGCGGTGGGCAGAACGACGAGAAATGCAGACGTGTGATCGAAACTATAAGAACGCATGCTGAGGAGATGCGTATACAAATCGAGCTATTTAGAAAATACCGAACAATTGTCACTAAAAAAGCAACATTAGCGCTATCACTAATCAAGCTTTTTAGTCGGCATTAACCGGCCAGTGTTTTAATACAGGAAATTTATTGCGAAAAATATTACCTCAGCCAGGGTTTAAACCTGGACTTCCCTTCTCTCTAAACGGGCGTCTCACTAATTCGACCACTGAGACATGTGGTAATATTTGTTGCAATAACAGTATATAGATGACATCTTCGCGTCTGTTTTTCGACTTTAAATTGCGCGTCGATTCAGGTTGTCGAATTGGTGAGACGCCCGCCTAGTGAGAAGGAAAGTCCAGCTTCACACTCTGAGGTAATATTTTTCGCAATAAATTTTCTGTATTAAAACACTGGCCGGTTAATGTTGACTAATAAGCTTCATTATTGTTATCTATTACTGACAATTTAAAAGAGATTCTATGTTTGAATTAACGCTATCTTTGTAAGAGATATTCGTTATTGCCCTCTCAAAGTAAATACGTTTTTCTGCCTCGGAAATACGAACTGTAGGACTGATGTGCAAGTATAAATATTAAGAACATAATTGTTTATTAATCAACATATCCAAACACACAATACGGTCGTGTATGTAAAGATGTAACTTTCCAAAGCAGATTAGACATGACTTTTTGTCACAATTTATGACGAAGATATAAACTAATTGTTAGTACTTAGAAAAAAATATAAGATTCTCGTTACCGAGGGATTACCAAGGAGCTGTGCCACATTGCAACCTGGCAAAACACACACACACACTTGCACGCACATGCCAACGGGATCTCCTAAATCAATTAGCACGAGAACGGTTTAATTCTACGAGCGTGCTATGGTATGTTCCCGGACTTAACATGCCGGCCGAAACCTCCCATCCATCTCGCGGGGTTTTCCGGGGTTTACGGCAACAACGATCTTCCGTTCCCGCGCGTACACGTCACAGCCACTTCCACCCTCGTTATTAACCTCTTTGAGACGATTTTTATACCCCCGTTTAAAATTTATAGGAGAATATACACGCAAGAGTCCGGCCATGTTACATAATTAAGTTCCCAAAAACATACGACTGAAACAACCGACGTGACTCGAATAAAGGTATTTTTATCACGTTTAAACAATTCGCCGGATTAACCATGCAAAATGATCCAACGCTGATATGCAATCCCTGCATTTTTTCCTTCGCAGTGAAAAATAAACTTTACAACTGCATTCCTGATTTCTATCAATTGGCGATAACTTCATTCATTGATTAACCCTTTGAAACATGGTGGTAACCCACGTACTACCTCGACTTCTTTACTTTTTGGCCATTTAATTTCTAGTTAACGCATGTAGGTCGAGTTTTTTTGCATTTTTGGAGTATTTTAGCAATAAAAAGCATTTAAAAAAGTTTAGTAGTCTTTGATATTTATTGTATAAGTTTTATAAATAAACAAATATGAAAAAACAGCAATTTTTTCGGAAAAATTCATTACTGACCAAACTTTTTAAGATTATTTCTTGAAAACTTTGTACAAAGGGATTTTCGGGATCGCTCATTACAAATCTGATGTCAGATTGTCAAAATTCAAAATGGCCGACCCAAAATGGCGGACGCAAAGTACGTGAATTTTTTAAATTTTCAAGTTTTTCAGCATTTTCGTTTGATTGCGGTATTTAGGGACTCATCACGTCCGCGCCGTTAGCTCTGGGTAGTGCCAAGAAGACATTTCGCGCGCACTATTTTTTATATTCTATAAGAATCTTCAACTCTAATTTAGATTCCGTGGGTCCTAATAATATCTAAATAATATTTCGTAGCATGGTTGAATTACAGCTAAATGATGTTATTCTTTTAAGCTCTGAATTCCGTCATCTTCAATCCACCGTTTTGAATTATGAAAATCTGATAACGGATTCGCAATCAGCGATCCCAAAAACCCTTGTACGCAAAGTTCGCAAAAAAATGATTCAATAGAAAAAAATGTATGCTTCAAAGGGTTAACGCCTCACTGGTATTACGCATATTATATGAATGTTTACTTTCAAACAGAGAATCTTTCATCGGCTATTACAATTATCCGGAGCAAAGCACCGGCCAGGTACAAACGGTCGTGCCCGCCGTACGTGTGACAATTTAAAACGTGCTCACATCGCACGGCTAAAGAAAACACGTGGAAGGCGGCGGGATACCAAACTGGCTCCTGCCTTGCGGCGAAGTCGCGACTCCGCTCTACGGGACGTGCCGCGCGTAAATATCCGCACGCGTTGTAGCCGGCCCCTTAATTGGCGCGAGGATCGAGGAGGGCGAGGGCTACCCGCGGCACGGGGACCGCGGCCCGAAATCGTAAATACTTTGGCGCACTCACCTATATTTCGCGCGACGACGGCGCAGCCGTTGGTTAAGAGCCACGCAAGTAGCAGACTGCCGAGGATCGGAGCTCCTCCTTTCCGTCGACCCTTGCGGCACTCCATCGTGAGGTTCCGAGCTCCGACTACGCCTGAAAGCAGAGGAAGAAACGATCAGCGCCGGTGCGCACTGGGGCGTGCTCTCGCGCTACCCGACGGCTGTCTTTTGTATTTCGCGCGTACCCGCGTGCGCTCATCCCGGAGGAGCGCATCGCGATTTCCGAGAACGCGTGCATTCGGTATGCCGAGATCGGACGCCGCCGCGTTATTGGGTTTACGTAAATCGCACGCTTTACCGGGCGACCACTCTTACGCCCCTTTTCTTTTCCTTTTCTTTTTTTTAGCGCACGGAGACTTACGGTCGCGATTACGTGGAAACCGCGATGTTCGCGACCAGATTCACGCCGGGATACGTGCAGTGCACATCGTAAAGTAGATTAAAATGTAGACAGATATGTTGAATAGGGATATCACAGCATTTGGTGGAGTTGTAGGTAAAACTTGCACGTGTGTATGGAATAGATATTTCTTAACGATGCAAATAATTGTTTTATTTTTTTCTTAATGAAGATTAAAAGTTCAACTGCTCTTTCTTAAATTATCACATTCACTCGGGAAGCATTTTTGACGGCAAAATATTCTTGTTTCACGTTTAAACTTGTCGCAGTCTCGTGCAGTTGAAATAAAAAAAATATTAAGATTAAAAATCAATAATAATTATATTCTCTCCAATTAAATAAGATTGACTTAGTATTGAGAGATAACGGTAACATAAATTTAAGCTTATATAATCTTTAGCGTGTAGAATAAATCTTCTCTCGATAACGCACGCGTCAATATCATTTTATTGTAGATTTCAGAATTTCCTATTTCAGACTAAAATATTCCTTTCTCAATAAAAAATATGATCGTCGCTTTGTCGATCCCATTTTACGACAGATCAAAGTGCAATAGCATTGGAGCCGGAAGTCTTCTCTGTGGGTATGGGATCGCCCGCTTTAATTCGTCTTATTTCACCGGCTGCAACGCACGCTGGTTTTTATTCGATGGATTCGCGTCGTGTTCGCGTCGTGTTCGCGCGGTTTGCAAATTTCGAAACGCTGACACCAAAATTGTTTTCCTTTTTCGCCTTCGTTAACCTACATTCACGCAAACGCGCGCACACCCATACGCAGATGCACGCACACCCCAACCCCTTCGCTCGACGCGCGGATTAAGCTGATTTATAGTGTTTACCGGCGATGCTCGCTCGATTTTTCCTGCGGCGTCGCGCGTGCGCCCCGTCGACCTATCAGCTTGTCGACAAAAAAAGGAACACGCGAGGAAAAAGAACGAGTATCGCGCCGGGTCACCACCGAAGGGGGTGGCAGGTGACTTGTGTGGATTACGCGTGGAATTGTGCATTTTCGCGGGCATCGCAAATGTTAAATCTTGACTACAATACATTCGTATATAGTAAGAAAAAAAGGAATTAGCGGAAGAACAGGTGAAACATGGCACATTTGTACATGTGATACATGTGTCGATCTTATTTGAGAAATATTTTAGAAAATTTTTAACAGTTGGGAAAAGTGTCCTTCAGATATTTTGTATATTGCGTCCGCAAGATGTGCAACTGACAATTTAATAGGGAATTCGATTGTTTGCACTAGTGCAAGCAACCGAATTCGCTATTAGATTCCTGTGTTCACTGAAAAACAAGACCTATATAAATATCCCAATTTTTCCAAAAGTATCACGGAATTAATAGACGTGAAATATTTTGCCACTGAATGTTTGAAAGAATTGTTCTCAATTTGCTAGTTAATACTAATACTTGTTACTAGTATTATCGTTAATTGCCCTCTCTTCCCGGTGGTATCTTGTTCCCAGAGTGCATAAATACTTTCTCGAGCGGCATTTCATAATTGAACGCGTGGAAAACAAAATTTAGCAACTCATCGATACAGATCTCAGATGTCACGCGAGGTCCCGTTAAAAAATCCTGCCAAGGTCTCTCGAAATAAAATCTGCGGGATTAAGTTACAACGCGGGTTAACGAGTAATCGTCTCGATTATGACCGAGAAAGGCGGTTCATCGAGCCGCAACCGCCGCGTGCATCACGGCGGACCACTCCGCAGATTGCATCGCATCGGCCGGATTGCAGCGGTGCACTTCCGCGGCCACGGAGGAACAGCGAGACGCGGGATATCTGGAGTGCTGCCAGTTCGTTTCGAGCGGACCGCGTTAATTTTTCCAGCGAGTCTAATTAAGCCCCCCCCCTTCCCGGTGTCTCCTTCCCGCTCGCCTCGTTCCTTCTTGATGCCGCCGGCATTCAACACTTAATACGACGAACGTGGAAGCCGCATAGCAACGCGATTATCGCCGAAACATCTGTAAACTCCCGGTGTAACGACGATAATTGAATGCGCCGGCTGTCCCCGCCTCTTCCCTTTCGCCGGTGCAACGGCACAAACGCATCCTCGCGTACGTCCCATGCATTACGCATAATTAATCCGACGATGCTATCTTCTCTAACCTTGTATCCGCGCGTTCATCGCGCGAATAGAATCGGCGATGCCGCTATTCTCCTTTCATCAACGTTGCCCTCCCTTTTCTTGCAACGCGCGCGTACCGCGATGCTGCGTACGAGGTGCATGCGTGCGCCGATACGCCGCGATAATCGCGATAAGCCCGATGACAACGCGATTCCCATCTCCGAGGTCGGCGCGGTCGTGGAGAGAAAGATCATTTATTAAAAAGGAAAGGGAGAGAAAAGAGAGAGAGAGCGGAGGGAGAGGAGGATGTACGCGCTCGGCACAATCGAGCGAGTAGTAATCTCCTGGCGACCATATCCTTTCCTTTTTTTTTCGCTGCCTTTAACGCTATTCCGCCGCGGATTTTTCAGATCGGTAATCGAGCGCTTGGAAGGAATTCCCAACGACGTATTTCGCGGTGCACCTTCGGAAGTTCTCGGAAGCGCTTTTATCGAACTGAACTATCGCCACATTTAGTTCGACCCCTAGAAAAGAATACATTCGAGGTGCCTGGCCGTTGCGTAGTTGGCACCAAAATTGTACGGCGAAAAGATATGCGATAAAAGTAAAAGTAGAGCAGGGCATTTCCTGGAATAAGATACTTGTTGAAGCGATTTGTTCGTGAAATGCTTTGGGAAAGTATTGAAAGACAGCTAATTTTCGGAATATAATTCTTTCGTATCTTTATTCGTCAATTTCAGATTCCTGGTTTCAAAGGTTTTTATACCTTTCCCGTGATATATTCATTAAAAATATCAAAATACGCGAAAAATTGGACATGCAAGATGCATTAAAGGATATTACTTTTTTTTATCGTGAAAAAAAATTATTTTAAAAAACATGAAATTTCCATGACCGAGAATTACATTCGATATTAAACAAATTCAATACTTTAATTCAAAAAGTACGTTTTTCCTCAAATAAATGCCACGAAAGGATTTCCTCGATTTTTGCGGTAAATTCTAAATTCATTTTGATCTCAAGTTGAACGGGATTTCGCTTGAAATGGAGTCGACGCACAAGCGGACCTAACATATAGATAAATTCACGCGCTCCTAGAATTCTTTTCAACGACTTTCCAAATTTCCTTAAATTTCTTTAACGAAGACGCTGCTAATTGTGGCACTTCACAGTACTTGCAGCATTACCTTAGGATCCTTGAAACACAGCGATAAAATGTCGGAGGTAATTTTCTACCATTTAATCGCTTTATTAACACCTTGGCGAACGTAATTATAGGATGAAATTTATTTTACATTTAACACTGTTCCTCGCGTAAAGTTACCGTAAACGAAGGACGCGTCCTGCCGGTACTTAGAATGTAATAAATAATTCAATAATAATTTCCACATCCCGTCGGACTGTGTCAGAACGGCAGAAGTGACGCTCCGCCGTCGTCGCCGCCGCCGCCGCCGCCGCCACCGCCGCCACCGCCGCCGCCGCCGCCGCCGCGGCCGTCCGGATGAAAACATAAATCTACATATTATTAAAGCAGCGGCGATCAAAGCGCTCGAAATAATGCAGATTATCAGAAAACGCCGGTGCCGCGGCAATTTCTGCAGGCACTTAAAATCATTTCGACGCCTCTCGCCGATGAATATTGAACAGCCACGCACCTGCCGGTCGCCTCTCCCCTTTCCAATCACTCGTCTCCCCCTTCATCCCTCCGGCCATCCCCATCTCTCGTTTCGCAATGATTTCAAGCACGAACTCGTCCATCATCGACGGCCCCCGCGCAAAATAATGCTCGCAACGAATTGGGCGATTGCGAGAGAGCGCTACGTGCAATGAGCAGGGGAGAATCAAAATTATTTGCTGAAAATCACATTATCGCATCGGCGGAGATACAGTGTGCGCGACCGCGACCTCGCGAGTTTCAATTTTACACCCAAGCGCATTTTAATGCACGCCGCGCGAAGCTCGGGGCTCCGATCGGAGTGCAATTAAAAATAATTGACGACGACAACGAGCCGATGTTATGGGCCGGAGGCGACCGCACGGGAAATTAACTCGCAATTCTCTCCGCGGAAAATCCGCCGCGAATCTGGCTCGAGAACGCGTTACCTTTAAGGCACCTCGCGGTTAATCCTCGAAACAATATTGTAACTCAATATTTCATCTCGTACTCGCCAGATATTTCGACTGAAAATTATATATTATCTGGAACGCATTAATTTAATTGATCCTTTAACTCTCCGTGGGACCGTGAAGAATACATTATGGAACTCCCGATTAAGGTTCGCGCAACGTTCGATCTTACGTCAGCTAGCCCAGACTCGAAACTGATATCGCAACATCGACGTGCCTTCAGCGGAATCGCCGATTTCCGAATGTCGCCGGTACATCTCTCTGTTTCAATCGCGAAAGCTTGAAAGGAGTACAAAAAACTGGATGAGGATGAAGATGAAGAGAAGATCGTGGGGGATGAGCAGGAGGAAGCTGTCGCTCGGTTGGCTATACACATACTGCATGCGAAAATGTCGGGTGCAATTTCTGAAATTCCGTCGTGTCGCTTCCCCGTGCCACTCGAATGCCGCTGCACCCGCCTCCCCCCCCCTCTCTCTCTCCCCCTCCCGCTTTCTCTTCACAGCATCGACCTTTCTTCCGCTTCATCCTCGTCTCTGTTTCGCTTCTGCCGGAGTTCATCGCGAGCAGACATCCTCGGCGCGACGCGACGCGACGTGAAACTGACACGGCGCTTTGAAAATTTCAGCAGCCGATATCAGACTCCGTAACCTGAATACGAGCTAAATAATACGAGCAGTTTTCAATTTGGTTTTACTTTTATTCTCGCTGAATTAAACTCGTATGAGTAGGTTTACTAATAGTTGTGGAATATCAAGCAATCGAAATATAATTTTAAGGTAGATAACGTTCAAAGGAGCTAACAAACCAGACACTGATTTTCTTCCATTTATAATAAAACTTTTATAAAAATAATGCATACGTTTCGATCTATAATCAGGTCATCTTTGGTGTATTATAAAATTTTCAAATATTAATTAACGTTACCGTGAATAGCTTCAATCTAGTTTTATACAAAACGTTCTCGATACAAATGTAACAACCGAAAACACATATCTCTGTAACGAATGTTGACTGCAAAATTATTATACAACGACTATACATAATAAAAACAAATGAGACTGTTAGAAAAGCGCTTTTCAAATAAATGATCGGAATTGGTACTGTTCCATTTCATTAATTTGAATTGATATATTCCTACTTCTGAGAGATTTTATTATTAGAAAACCGGGTTATAACTGATCTACATCGATAAGATTTTCATGCATGTGTAATATCAGAACCGGAGGCGAAATATAGTCATCGCTGCGAGGATCGCGCAGTTTCCACGACTCGTCTGGAAAATGCAAATTCGTTACCTACGGAGAAAATGCAAATGCAAAAAATGCAAATTCGATATCTTCGACTTTGAGAACAACCCTCGGAACGGAGACACTTGCTCGAATCCTGTAATACCTACTATTTGAAATTGGACGCTATTTCAAGCGTGACATAGATGAATTTATCAAGCGGATGATGTGGCCAAGTCTTTTATTGCTCTCGTGCTTTCCATAGAACACATATCTAGCTTTCTATCGACTTAGCCATCGTAATATCACAAAATTTAAGACGATTAAAAAGAAACTCGTATAAAATTATTTTATGACGGATAATTACCGTTTCACGTTTTATTACAAAGTTAATGATTATTACAATTATAACATATCACATATTATAAATTAAATAATCATTGCGTAAAACTTGCTTCGTTATAAAACGACCGAATAATTCGAATAAATTATTTGGAATTTGATATCACAGGAATGTCAACGTCGATCATTGAAAGTCACGGGACCAAAAATCAGCGGGACGAATGTAATTGATTGAAATTTACCTAACGCGCATCGACGATAACGGGACAGGGATAGTATTTCAATCTCGTTAAACTTCAGACACAAGGAGTTCAAATTAAAATCGCACAAAAAGACAGGCGTCTCTTCCAATGCGCGCGGAGCAAAATTAGAAAACTGCCAAATTAGTCTTGATTCATTCGCGAGGCGCGTATTTACCGTGTAAATAACTTCCACGGTATTTCATGCAGCGGAGGTCGAGCTTCGTTCTGGAGTCGGTGCTTCGGTGAAGCATAAAATGATTATGAGCAAGTACCGTAAAGCGCCTATAATTTCAAAGGAACCGGGAGGCCGGCCAGCCATCGGCCTGGCCTTAAGGAAGAAGGTGGACGAAGGAACGCGGCTGCCAAAAGATAGTGGACGACGTGCATGCCTGCGGGCAGACTCCGCAACTCTTTGCGTTACAGCTCCCATTAACGAAGCGATTAACGTTAATTTATGTAACGCAAAAGGATGTATAAAAATTGCTTCAATATTCCGTAATATACTTGTAAAAAAATATACATATAAATCATCACCAAACAATGTATGATTAAGCACTAATGCTCGATGAACATTTTACTGTGTGTACATCTTGTAGCAGAAGCTACTGTATCTTTATACTGTTAAAAAATGAACATCACGGCATAACATAAAAAAATGGGACGTGGAAGAAATGGCAAAATAATTTTGTCTCGCGAGGAAATAAAACTGGAGCTGTCAATGTCGCGTCTGATTAATAAATGTGATCTCGCCATGGATGCGACGCGCAATGCACTTAAGTGTAATGAAGTGCATAGGTTATCGAATGAGTGATATACGACCAAGTAGCTTTTTTCTCTCTGCTCTTAGCTCTTTATTGATCTCGCAAGAGCGCCGAGTGTAATAAGTAATGGAGTTATAAGCAAGTTAGCTTATATCTCATGATAGAAACGTCAGCCAGTAATAAGTAACATACTTTCGCTTGAAATGTCGGGACATAAACCGTCTTCCTGCTAACATCGATTTTATCATCAGCGATATGATATATGGATCGCAAGCGATGCGGTATTACGCGGTCGCTCCCAATATAAAAAATTTAAGGAAATTATTCTAAAAAGCCTGCGTGACAAAAAATAAATTTTTATTTCAGTTAGCGTAGAATGAAATAAACAGCGTTTGAAAGTACGTGTCGTTTTAAACCTATGACCCCTATGACCCTTTAACATTTCAAATTTCATCACTTTCGGCAAAATCGAAAATAGAAACATATTTAAAATTGTAATTTAAAAGTGTAATTGTCCTGTAACGTAATATTTCCAAACATGTAGAAGGTCAATAATATGCATGTTATGCACAAATTTGCAATGCATATCCTGAAAATGTGACTCTCTGTATTATTTACGAGAGCCCAAAACGTCATCTCGCGGCGATCGGCGGTGTATTTTTTTTCTGTCTGGAAGTTGCAATTTTCAATTCGCGGCAGAAGGGACTAAATCGCTATCAAACGGCGGATGTCATCGAGGGAAGACGCATCGCGATCCGCGCTATAAAAGGAAAAATTACGCGAACGCCGCGGGTAACGATTATATTATTCGCCCCCTTCGGAAGACTTGATCCCCACTGCGTGTCCCGCGTGCACGATCCCGGCTTAGGGGTGCTTCACGAAACGAGGGCTCACTTTTCACTTAAGGACTAGCGGGGTCGGGGCTCGTCTAACTGCCCCGCATTATTCGTTATTACGGCGTACATGATGCGCGAGGGTGGTGGGCGGTATCACCGGTAAATCTCGAAGAGTAGGAGGAAAAAAGAACGCGATAAACGCCATTTAGTCATACTTCGGAGATCCTTTACGGCTACACACGAAAGAGTAATATTTTAAAATTCATATTTCATGCATCGCTTCTATTTTTTTTTTAGTAAAACAATACTCGAATGTAACACAGTCAGTTTTCGAACTATTATTTTTAAATTGGCAACTTTAAAATTCCTCTGCTGAAATATATACAAAAACAGCTTTTCTCAGGAATATAAAAAGTAAAAATAAAATAGCAAATGTAACGGTACTTAATGATCAATTAATCTTTTCTCGCGTTCGTTTTATACTTAAATATAGATTTATACCCTGTTTCGCGTTTAGAGATTACATCGAAAGTTAAATTAATTTTAATTATTGTAGTTAAATTAGAAGCTTATTCTTATTAATATAGTAGGTATGTATCGAGCTGACCCTTGACTAGACAATAATAACAAAGTAAAGGAGAAGGAGTGAAATATACAGAAACCAACGCAAACTCCAGTAGTGATGATAAGTTCACCCGTTTATGCCGGTATCTTCGAATCCGGCCCTATAAGATTTCCGCAGCCACCGGAAGTCACCCGCAGTGTCTAGAAATCGGAGAAAGAAGGAAATAGAAAGGGAAGAGGAAAGGAGATGCCCCCAGTGACGCAAGTAGTCGTTTGCT